ATGATGATATTGCGCTTGGGCTGTAGGAGCCCCTCCGGAGTCTGAACCCCCACAGTGAGCGCGGGTACCCAAATGGATCGGGCTGCACGCCGCAGCGGTCATATGCATTGCATTGCATTCATGCATTGGTTCCTGTTTGTACTACGTGTCATGACATTCAGCACTCTCATATCATTGGCATCCATGCTACTTCTTATACTGCTTACCAGACGCCCTGGTGTTAATTGTTTGTGGAGTGCTGTGCCCGAGGGGCTGACTTATGTGCGGACTTGCACTATCTGATTACGCATTCGTTTGCTCGATTGTTGGAAAAAGATGTTTTCAAAAGAGGTTTTAAACTGAGTCAGATATTTTCTAAAGGATTTTCACGGTTTCATTGTTTTTCTGAGAGAGTTGTACTGTCCTATATAGCGTGATGGAGTGCTCTTACGTGATTTCTTGCCTCTCAGTTATTATTTACTCTTATTACCACTGAGTTGGAAGTACTCACTTTACTCCCTGCACCTCGCGTGTAGTTGCAGGTATTGTTCACCTGGTAGCGGGTTATTAGCTGATTGAAGGTAGGGCTATTGTAGCTGAGCAAGGTGACCGCCAGCGTTCGCGGCACCGGATGTTGTCTTTTGATTTTCCAGAATTTTTCTTTATATATTATTATTGGCCCTGTAGTTGTGTTCAGGTTTCTTTAGATGCTCGTGACTTGTGACACCCCGGTCGGGTAGAAATTAACAAATTTTAAATGCCATTAAGTTGTATCTTCTATTTATTTATGTTTGATAATTGTTAATGAAAGGATTTGGGTTAGTTTGCTGGCCTTGTCTTCACGAGAGGCGCCATCACGACCAGGTTGGGAATTGGATCGGGACAAGTTGGTATCAGAGCCTAGGTTACTAGGTCTCACAAGTCATGAGCAGGTTTAGTAGAGTCTCGCGGATCGGTATGGAGACGTCTGTATTTATCCTCGAGAGGCTGCAGAACCTTTAGGAAAACTTCACATTCTTGGAATTCTTATCGTGCGTACTTGATTCAGCTTGAGATATAACTCTTGAAATTCCTTCCACACGTCTGTATGTGCACATTAGCGCTCAGTGTTATATGTGCCTTGATGGCTTGTGATTCCCCGATCGAGGGGCGAGAGGTAATCTGTGTGAGTATGATGGGCCAGTTTGGAGGACTTGAGGCCGGATCTTTGCCTATGGCTTGAGCACCGAGGTGCTGATTGTGTGAGCAAGTGTTTGAAATTTATATGTTCGGTGTTGTCCCTATTAGCCGGAATGGCGGTTAGATATCCATGTAATGAGTATGTTAGTACTACGTGATGTATCTATATGACTTGGTAATGACGAAGAAGTCTGCTGGATAATAGATGAACCGTTAAGTGGTTCGTTCCCTATTGTGATTTGATGTGTAGCCGAATAATGGGAGTGTGAAGAATATCTTCGTATCTCCTAGTTGGAAAGTAAAGTACAATACGTGTGGCGGTATGAGTTCAGACTCAGGAAGACTAAATTGACTGTGTTATGTGTATGACAGTGGGAGGTGTGCTGAAATACTAAATTGAGGCGAAGCAGGTGGGTTATCTCCTGCGGAGTGTTCTTGAGTGGTATGATACTTATGTGTACATTAGAAGATCCCATGTGTAATTGAAAGGTACGAGTTGTAATTTGAAAAATTTGGGTCGCTTAAGAGAGAGGACTCAGCTGATGTGGGGATGAATGCGAGGTTTGCAGAGGATTTCAGTACCAGATGATCTGTGTTTTCATAAATCAGTAGATGATTTGAGTTTAATCTCACTATAACATTGTGGCATCATTAGAGTAAAAGTGTTATGAGTTGTTAAGTGTGTCTTGATATATGGTTCGAGCCAAGTTGGGGAGGTTGCTGTTGATTAGCTGATTGCACGGTTATGTGCTATGTTGGTTACGTCCCGAAGTATGCTGGCGAATTAGTTCTAGTTACAGAGATTGAGCCGAGGATGGCACGAGTGAAGCAAAATTTCGACAAAGGTTATATTATGTTCCATAGGGTATGAGAATTACGGAATGTCTGGAGGTGTTGTTGGTAAAAAAAATGCTCGGTGCATAAAGCAAGAAGTTGCTTGGTTGTATTGAGATGAAGGTCACATTTTACGGTATCGGAGTGCCAATAAAGCACGAGTGGTTCTGTTCGTTAAATCAGGTGATTTGCAGATGAATAAGAGTGAATGACTCTCGAGAAAGGTTTTAATGTGTTCAAGAATCTACATGTCACACTCAGGTGTTTTAAGGTGGTGTATGTGACTAAAGACAGTGTTTTCAATAGAAAATGTCAAGACTTGTGGTATTCTAT